GCCGGTAGCGACAAAAACTGCGGGGAACTATGCAAAAAACGCATCTTCGCACGGGCAGCCCATGCGCTGGCCAATTATTTTCACTTTTATTCATAAGCTCAGTTTTGCTTTAATTTACTTTTCTTTGTAGTACTGTGTTGTTTCTTCCTCTCTACTGTTTTCTCCAGTTATTGCCTCGAAACCCTGACTAGCACCCCTGTGCCCCTTCTCTATCCTGCCCGTAATTCCTGCTTCCAGAGGCGCATCGGGGCAACCATCACCCCACAACCACTGTCACCATTTATCATCCTGACCTGGCCAGCACTTTCGTCCTCCTCCTCTACCCTCTGCCCAGCCTCTGCCCTTCAAGCTATACCTATGCACCTATCAACCAGCACTCACCAAACACGTCCAACCCCGTCCCATCGAGTCCCAAGCACGCGACCCAACCGCCAAACACAGAGGAGCACTAGCCAACGCTTCAGGCAAAGTTCCAATCGGTCCCAGCGAGCGGCGCCGTGAAATAGCGTTGGTAGAGATGTCAGAGAGCGCTTTCCGTCCAGCCAGGCCGAGCCGAGTTTTTGTTTGGGTTGGTACGGTAGTTACTGAAGTTATAAATCTATGCAAATGTGTCAGTTTTTTCATTTTTTTGGCGTAGTGGGGTTTTGGAGCGAAAAAGTAGCCCTGTTGGCCAGTTTGGGTCTAAAATTGGGAAGTTCTGCATTTGCTGGTTGGAGGTGCGGGCCCATTTTCTCATCCAAATTTTCCACTTGTCCTATCGACGTCGATTCAGGATCCATAACCAAGAAGCGTTTTTTGTCCCGTTCTTTACCATAAATTTTATGTGTTTTGTTGCAGCTACAGATGTCTGTCGAAACGGGTGAGCAAGTGCATCGCAGTCATCGAGGTAAGCCATTTTTGCTTCTGTTTTATATAGTGCTACGTAGTGGTACCTAATTCCAGTTCTGTATTGCATAAGAATGTATGCAGCTTGATGGACCGAAACATCCCTGTTCAATTGATCATTTTGATTTTAGTATTAATTTTCGTTTTTAGAACACTTTTTTATGCAAATTTCTCTTCTTCCTTGTTAACTTGTTACAACATTATAAGTGCATAGCGAATTGGGGCCTGTATTGGTGATTCCTGCCTTTCTGACGCCATGCTTTCCAGTCTGTGTTTACAGCTTAGGGATGAAACACGTGCGAAGACTACTTAAATGTCTAAATTTGCTAAATCGTGGGTTA